GAAACGAACGCCGTACTTTCCGAACAAAATTTTTTTTTTCCTAACCGCGAATTTTCGTGGCAGCAAATAAAATATTCTAGAAAATAAAATTTAATTTTTTTTTTTTTCCAAACACACGACGATTAATATTTATAATAATAATAATAATAATAATAATAATTTTAAAATCCTTTACGTTTCAGATTATCCATCCAATTTAACCCTTTAGCGAAAAGATTTTCTCGTTTTTTTTTTTTTTTTTTAAAATCCGTCCCGCTGTCATCAGAACGCGCGGTCCTAACACAAAATTTAATTAAGGTTTACGAGAAAACGTTTAATTGTAAAAAATTGACCGGTACAAACAAACGGGAGGGGAGGGGTAGGGAGAGAAGGGAGGGAGGATTAAATGTTTGCGTGCGTGGGCGTTAATGAAAATCCCAAAAAAAAAAAAAAAAAAAAAAAAAGGGATAATGAAGGACAACGACAACGAAAACAACAACCGGCGACGAAAAGATTTAAAAAATAATTACGTGTAACAAACAAATAAATAACCCTTTTTCCCTTTTTTTTAAATTATTAAATTTATTATTATTATTATTATTATTATTATTATTATTATTATTATTATTATTATTATTATTATTATTATTATTATTATTATCCGCAACAAACGACAAACAATTAACGAGAACAAACGAAACGAAAAAAAAAAAAAATTAATTAACCCGACTACTACATACGAATTTTTTTTTTTTTTTTTTTGTAAAATAACCTCACTTTTTTTTTTCGGCTGCTCCGGAAGTACCCGTAAAGTAAATAATCATTCATTTCTTATTTTTCCGTTATAACACCCTCACGTCATTTCCGGTTTTTAAAAAATTTTAATAATAATAATAATTATAATAATAAATTTATCGTCACGAAAAAAAAAAAATTTTTTTGTAAAAAAGATCCGATGAATATTCGAGTATCAAATAAATTTTTTTTTTTAATGCGTTTTTGTCGGGGAAAAAGAATACCAAAAAAAAAAAAAACCGAGGGAAAATTTTTTAAAATACAAAAAAAAAAAAAAAACGCGCCAAAAAAAAAAATTAAAAAAACAAAACTCGTATCAAATGTCGATGAGTAAAATCGAAATAAAAAAATCACAAATAAAAAATTTACGTCGAAAAATTTTTTTAAAAAAAAAAAATTCACACGTGGAAACAACCGGGAAAACTAGAAAAAACCGTTAAAATATCGTTAAATTATCCCGATTTCGACTTCGTACAATTTTTTGAAGAAAAAAAAAATTTTTTTAAAAAAGAGAAAGAAAATAAAAAAGAAAGAAACGTGTTCCCGACGCCGAAGTCGAGAACTGACTGATGATGATGATGATGATTATGATGCACACAACAACACACACACACACACACAAAAACCGAGCAAGTCTTCCTTATAATATTATTATTATTATTATTATGACGAATCCAATACAAACGCGATAATGCAAATTACATGACGTCGTTTTTCCCCCACCGCTGCCCCCCCTCACACTCCTTCTCGTCACGTTTTTAAATTTTTTGCACCCGGTCAAATTATTCGTCGCGGTTTTTACACACGCACACGCACACAACCTCAGACATCGTCTGAAACAATTTTACCGCGCGATTAACCGCCGATTTTCACGAAAACGATTTTTCCCCCCTCCCCCTCTTTTACCTCCCTCTCCCCTCGAATCGTTTTTTTTTTTTTTTAAACCGACAGGAATTCAACAGGTAAAAAAACGAATTAATGACACTAACTGTCTTGTGCCACGTTTTAATTAACCCTCAAAAGAAAAAAAATATATTATTGACACGTTCTTCATTTTCCCTCTCACTCTTTACTCCAGCGAGAGAGAGAAAAAAAGAGAGAGAGAGAAAACCTCAAAAATTACTGGAAAATTATCATTATTATTATTATTGTTTTAGTGGGGTCGAAACGAAAATAAACCGTAAAAAATTCTCCAGTCCGGTTTTTTTTTTTTCCTTAATACTTTACATAGATCGCGAGTTATTCATTCGTCATTGCTGCCAACGACGACGAATATTAAAAAAAAAAAAAATTTATTCAATAATAATAATAATAATAATAATACCTGTTTTGCGTTTTTTCAAAGAGACAAAAACAGCGGAAAAGTTTAAAATTTCTTTTTCTTTTCTTTCTTTTTTTTGTTAAACTTTGCAAAAATTAATTAAATAAAAGCTGGATAAGCACGACGACGACGATGACGATGACGAGCGTGATATTATATTTTTCGATTAATCGATATCATTTCAAATCAAATCGAAAAGCAATCCATTGTTTCCATTTTCTTTGTTTGTTTGTTTGTTTGTTTCTTCTGCTTTTTTTTTTTTTCATTAAATCGAAAAAAACAACAACAAGAACAACAACACCGACCTGAGATTTTTTCCTCTTTTTATAAAAACCCTTTCACATCATCGAATTTCTATCGAATCTTTCTCGAAAATTTTTCTTTTTTTTTTTTATACAAAAAACCCTGATAATAATAATAATAATAATAATAATAACAACAACTTTAATAATCCTAATAATAATAATAATAATAATAAAGCAATTAAAGGTATTTAAAAATTTTAAATTACAAACCAAAAAAAAAAATGTATAAAAAAATTTAAAACAATTAAAAAAAATTATGAATGAAAACCATGATGATGATGATGATGATGATGATGATGATGATGATGATGAAGGTGACGACAAAGAAATGCGATGACGGAGATGACTTAAATATAATACTCCCACGCAACGAGAGAGAGAGAGAGAGAGAGAGAGAAAAGACAATACAGTTTTTTTTATGAGTAATAAAATCGTAATGAAATGAAAAAAAAAATGACCGCGTCGAAATCATTTCGATGACGTCACAATTTTTTATCCTACCGGGTACCTCCCCCCTTTTATTGAAGTGTCAGAGTGATGTCATAGTGAAACAATCACATCCGCAAATAGATTTTTTTTTTTTTTTCAAATGTTGGCAATTACGTAAAACTCGACCGTGCATTTTACCGTAAAAAATAAAAAAATTTTTTTTTTTTTAAAGTCATTAAATTATAAATTATTGATTTAATACGGTTGCGGTTTTAAACCTTCGAAAAATCTACCACGATGATGATAATGATGATGATGATGATTCATAATGCGATTGTTTTTTCCTACCATTTTATTTATTATTATCATTATTATTATTATTGTCATTTTGTATAGAATTACGTGAGAGAAAATTAACGCAAGACGATTTGTTTTGCAACGACAAACGAAATTCAAAAAAAATTAACGATTTAGCATCTACAGTAGTAGCAGGTATCGGGTGGGTATGTAAAAACGGTTGTTCAAATCGGTAACAAACAAACAAACAAACAACTTTCCACCGTCTGCTTTTCGTCTATTTAAAAAAAAAAAAAAAAAAAAAACCCCGGCTCGTCCGCCGCCTTCTCATCGTCTAATTATTTAAAAATTTTTTTTTTTTTTTCCACCGGAAAATATAAATAATAATAATAATAATAATAATAATTTTTTAAATCAATAAATTATCTCGACGATCGAATCGATAAGGTTCGAGAACCTTCTACGGAAACCGAATTAAAAAAAAAAAAAAAATGAAATGTATGCGTTTACATTTTCCTCGAGGGTTTTCTCTTCTCGAATGCGTACCGCCGCCACGTGCCTTACGTACTCTACTTTTTCTTAAATTTCCCGCGCTATTTTAAATTAACCAATCAAAACGCGTCATTTTTTCATTACCCCCCGTCTTAATATAACATGATAAAAAATTTACCTTTACTCGCTCTCCCCTTTATTCATTTACATTCATTTTTAAATGAAAATTTTTTTTCCTGTTTTTTTTTTTTTCTCCGATAGAGTGCGTCCGTGGAAATTCGACAATTTTCTTTTTTTTCAACGTGTCTATATACGTGCATATAAAAAATAATTTTTCTTACCTGAAAAGAAAAAAAAATAAATAAATAAAATAAATTAATCGAATTTATTAATCGAATTTATTAATTTCGAGATATCGATTTTACATTTAAAAACATTAAATTTTTTATTTTAATTTTCTATCCCCGTCGAACAATCGCATAATCGCCTTAAAAATAATTTTCTTTTTTCTTTCCTTCTTTACTTATTTATTTACAATGTTTAACTTACCCAATTATTATTATTATTATTATTATTATTATTATTATTATCATTATTATCATTATTATTTAAAGAAATAATACGTAATACGTGAGAATTTAAAAAAAAACAAAATTTATAAAATTTTACACGACTCGTACATTAGTGACGATTTTCAACGTTTTATTTAAACTAATAATTAAAAATATTTCACACGTAAATAATAATAATAATAATAATAATAATAATAATAATAATAATTTTTACTACATATATATATATATATTTTTTTTATTAATGACGTCATAACAAGACGTTTTTTTTTTTTTTTTCAAATATAAATTTTTCCCATTTCCAACAACAACAACAACAACAACAAACACGTAATTGAAAACTAATGTAAATATTTTGTCGCGTAACAATCGTTTGTTCGTGTGTGTGTGCGTGTGCGTGTGTGCGTGTACAAACGAAACCTATGATTAACTTAAGCTTTTTTCCGTTTCGTAAAAACAAAAAATTCGACATGATTTTCCTTTTCTTTTTTCTTTTTTTTAAAAATGGTTTAAGATCAAATTATCGTTAATAATCCTTTCACCATAAAATATATATATATATAGATAAAATTATAAATTATTATTATTATTATTATTTCTACTTTTTTTTCCATTTAACGGTAATTCGAAACTCTTTCGTTACTAAGGGATTTTTTTCCACACAAGTTAATTACATCCTAATAAAAGCATGGAAATTGTTTTTACGTAATTATATATATATATATATGTCAGTCGTCTTAAAAAAAGTATCAAACCGGAAACGGTAGGAAAAATTAATAATAATAATAATGATTATAAAAAGTACGATACCTTCGCAATCTCTTTCATCCGTTTGATCCGTGCAATCGTAATTTCCATCGCATTTTTTCGATGATGGTATGCATCTTGTGACGTCACAAACAAATTCTCCGCTGCTGCATTCTGCGTACGAAAATAAATAAATTATTATTATTATTATTAATTAACTAATTTTTTTTTTTTAATATTATAATTAATGACATCATCGACCAACAACGAGTCAAGGGGGGAGGGGGAAACTGTAAAAACGTGAGAGAGAAAGTAAAAGTGTCGATACGTAATAATCTATTAACGGCGATGATACGGGAAGTAAACGAAATGGCGGGAAAACGTAAGAAAACACTTAGTTCGCAAATTTAACAAAAGAGAGCAGCAGTTAAATATGTTTATTTCTTACGCGTGGTAAAAGGGTCCAACCGTTACAAAATCAAAATGGCGGGTATTGAAAATTTTTAAAGGCAGCGCGTAATGATACGCAAGCTAAAAAATTTAATTAATTATTAATTTATTTCCATGCTTTCATGATTCATGCGAATAAAAAAGCATCATATAGCCAAATCTCCTCATATCATTATTATTATCATTATTTACTTACCGCACGCCTGTAAAAAAAAAATGTACAAAAAAAAAAAAAATTTGGAATAAATATTTTACCCGTGGCAGAAGACGTTGTACAATTTGATTCGTCCCATCCGTCATTACAATCTAAATCACCGTCGCACACTTGATCTCTACATATGAATGCCGTACCATCCGGACAACGAACTTTATCATCCGCTCGACATCTATCGGGTACGTTTTCAATAAAACTACCCGATGTTGTTACGGCATGGGCATGCGATGAACCGGTTGACGTCGTCGTCGTCGTCGTCGTAGTAGTAGTAGTAGTAGTCGTGGCAGGAGCAAAAGTAGTAGTGAAAGTAGCAGACGGAGTCGTACCCTTATGATGATCTTCTTCCACGTGATCACTTCCATAGATATCGCGATGATGGCTAGTTGTTACGGGAGCTAAACATGCAATACTAATGCTATAGAAAAAAAAAAATCTCACGAACCGCAAAATTTTCGAGCATGTATTTCACTCCATAACTCGAAATAAAAAAAAAAAAAAAAAATCATGCAATGCAATTTTTCTTATATGCTTCAAAAAAAAAAAAAAAAAAAAAAATGTTACGCGCGCGCGTATCCATCCTCAACCACACTTTAACGCAGCGGAATTTTGTCAATCATCATCATCATCATCATTCTTTAATCCTCTCTCCCCGTTTTCATAACGGACGTCATACATACATACTAATAAATAATATTATTTAACTTTTCATTTTTTCTTTTTTAATTGGTTGTAAAAAAAATTTAATTTGTGATAATAATAATAATAAATTTTATAATACGAGGACGTTCTTTTCAATACTCAAAGTTTTATTATGTCTTTGGCATCATCATCATCATCATCATCATTATTATTATTATTATTATTATTATTACAAACCATTGATAATGTTTAATAACTTGCACTCTACGGACCCCCTTAAATGACCTTAAACATTAACCGCGAGAGAGAGAGAGAGAGAGAGAGAGGAGCTTATCAATCGATTTCATACAATTAAAAAAACTTACGCACGCTATCTAAATATATACATATAAGTACACACGCACAAACACGCACGCACGCACGCACGCACTCACGCATACGTAATCGTTATTAACCTGTTAAGAGTCGATGAATAAGAGGATATCGTACGACAAAAAAATTTTTTTTTTATTTAAGCATTGATAAGAAGCCATTTTTTTTTTTTTTCAAATATCGGAATCATGCTTTTTTCTTTTTTAAAGCAAAGCTCGTCGTATTTAAGGCCGCGTCGGAATGATTAAAAAGAGAGAGAGAGAAAGCAATAGCAGAAAGCTTTACTTGTTAGGTATCACCATCGCGGATGTATAAAAAAATTCGGGGGGAAGGGGAGTGGGGTGGAAACGTCAAGAGGGAGATATCGGTTTAATCAAAACCGGTAGTAATAACGTGGGAAGAAAAGATAGGGAGGGAAAGGGGCGAGGGGGGAGTATTACCTAAGAAAATAAATTTGAAAATGATTTAAAAGTGATCTCCACCCAACCATTGTTATAAAAATACGATAATCTATTGTACATTTAAAAAAAAAAAAAATTAATGTCTTTCGTGTAAGTAGTAGTCGAATTTTTACAAAAAAAAAAAGTCGTGGCAGAAGAATACTTCTTTTTTTTTTTTAAATTTAATTTAATTTACTTTGACTTTAGAAAAAAAAACTGTCACGTTACGAAAAAAAAAGAAAATAGTTTTGAAAAAAAATTCATATGGAACCTATTGAAAATTTATTTTTTCTAATTCCACGTTTTTTTTAAAAAAAATTCTTTAAGTTTCGTTTCGTTAACACTCAACCGTGACGAGGGGGGAAACGTCGTAATTTGACATTTAATAAATCAATCATAATTTGTCAATGAAACAAACGAAAATACCACATCACACTTTAGACGATTATTTAACAACAAACAAACAAACAAACCAATCTCTTTAATCATAATTTTTTTTTTTTTGCTAATTTTTTTTTTTGTTTTAAATTCATCATCCATCTTTTTTTTTTTTTTTTTTTTTTTTACTGGATTATATTTAAATAAAAATTTTTATTTAACGTCCTCCTCACATTTCTTTTTTTTTTTTTTTAAAAATATCAAATTTTTGTCTTTGTGTGTTTTTCTTTGTGCTGACCGTGGAAAAACACGTGAGAGAGAGAGAGAAAGATTGACGACTCAATTATACACAAAAAAAAAATTCCTTTTTACCCCCCCCCTCCCTTTTCCCCAACCTTTTCTTCATTCAAACAAACACAGCTGATTTGTTTTAATATCAAAACAAAAACTCGCAAAATGCAAAAACTAAAAAAAAAAAAACTAAAAGAAAAAAAAAAACTCGATTGTAGTAACAACAAACTCAATTATTAATTTCTTCTGCTTTTATATCGAATAACAAATATATTTTCCGGTCGTCTGTGTGTGTGTGTGTGTGTGTGTGTGTGTGTGCGCGTCTGATTTTTTGCTACAATCAATGTTTTTTTTTTTTTTTTTTTTTTTGTAAAATCCAATCGCAACTTTCCTCATCATTCAAATCGCATTTCGTCTGCCTCTTTTTTTTTTTTTTTTTTTTTTTTATAAATTTGACTGAGATATTACGTCATATTATTATTATTATTATTATTATTAATTCGATAATTACCTGTAACGGCCGTGCATCCCATTTCGTCTGAACCGTCTGAACAATCGTTCACGCCGTCGCATCTTTTGCTAGCATCCAAACATTCTCCAGATCTGCACGGAAGCTGATGAGGACCGCAATTTTGATCGTAATGACTCGGTGAAGCTTCGTTATTTAAAATCAAATCGACGAAAAATAAAAATAAAAAAAGAAAGAAAAAAAAAAATTTACATTTAAAGCAAACAAACTACTACGACAACAACAAACAAACAACGAATTTTTTTCTTTTTATATAAATCTACTGCCACTGCTTAAATTTCTACTGCAACCACTACATTTTGTGCTATACTACTTTAACAAAAATAGCTTCTTTAAATAAATAAAAAAAGTAACAATTAATATAAAACATCCTTTTAAAAAATTATCGCCATTTTTTTTTGGTTTTATTTTAAATATCCGTCGTCTGCTAACTAATAATAATAATAATAATAATGATAAAAATAATGACTATTGTACGAAATTTTAATAAATTATTATTTTTTTTTTAAAAAAAAAAGACAACAATTTTTACTGAATTCCGTTTGTTTTGATTTTTTTTTTGATTTTCAACTCTTAAATCAATTTCGTTTGTTGTGTCTCTTGTCGGTGTACCAACAACAACCACAACGACAACAACAAACCATTTTCAACAAAAATCACACGATTTTTAAAAGGATGCATTATTATAACAATAACTAAAAAACGAATCAAAAATAAAAGAATAAATATTGCTAAAAAAAAAAAAAAAAATTGGTTGTTGCAGTTCGAAAAGAAATAAATAAGAAAAAAATTGTTCGTTTGTACGAAACAAACAAATGATTTTCGGTTCTAACCTCCAAAATCCCTAAATGAAAATTCATCGTCTGTGACCATGACGGAACCCAATCTATGAGTTTCTTGTATGTGCCTCTTAAGAGTTTCCTCTATGACGTTTTTGTCGTAATAATCCAGAGTTCCTATATCTAGCGTGACTCTAAAAAAAAACTGATCCGGATTTTTCCTAGAAAAACAAACAAACAAACAATCAAACAATCAAAAATTTATACAAAAAAATTCTCGTTTCGTCGCCATCTTTTTTTTTCTTTTTCTATATCCCTCCCTTCCTCTTATTAACCGTTACATTCTTATACACATTAATCGTAATCGTTAATTCGTTTAAAGGCGAATAATAATAATGATAATAATAATGATGATGATGATGATGATGATGATGATGATGATAATAACAACAATTGTTTAAATAAAAGTATTAATAAAAAGGATAAGTAAATTCGAAATATATCAAAGTCGATAATTTTAAATTAAAATAATAATAATAATAATAATTGGGAAAAAAATTTATTATTATTATTATTATCATTATTAGCTCTTATCACCACCTTACGTCAAATATAATAAACGTTATCAATCAAATTTTTTTTGGCCTTTTATTTAAATTTAAATCGAAAACATTTTGTGGTATCGAAAAAAAAAAATAGAATTAATAATAATAATGCTGATAATGAAGTTAAAACGAACGTGCCACGTTTTTTTTTTTTTATTCTGCTTTCACGTCTTTAAAAAAATTTTTTAGTTTCTTTTTATTGAGAAATTTGACGAAATAAAAAAAAAAAACTAAAAAAACTATTGAGAAATCAAATAAAATTTTGTCGGTTAGCAAATGTGATTGTTTTTTTTTTTTTTTTTTTTTTTTTTCGAAAAAAAAAAATATTAAAAAAAATTTTAAAAAAAAACGTTAATAAATTATATTTACGATGTATAATATATGTGTCGTTCGAATATTATTATTATTACTATTATTATTATTATTATTATATTTTTTACGATTTTTTCAAAGTATTATTACAAAATGAAAGAGGAAAAAGAAAAGAAAAGAGAAGAAAAAAAACATAATGGCGGCGGTTATAAATACGATGAACCATTTTTTAATTTTTTTTTTTTTTATATAATAAAAATTCAATAAACATTTCTTTATCATTATTATTATTATTATTATTATTATTATTATTATTATTATTATTATTATTATTATTATTAAACGATATATGAAATTTTTTTTGGGGGGGATTTTACCAACACGTGTGAGAAGCAAAAAAATTGGGAAAAGTGGGAAAAGAAAATGAGCAACAAGTTGATCACGAAACGTTCTCAGAACCCCCCAAAAGAAAAACAACAACAACAACGACAACGACAAAGACAACAACAACCAAAACACGACCTAACAACCTTTAAAAAAAAAATTTTGAAAATTTAAAATACAAAAAAATAATAATAATAATAATTATAAATTAAACAATATCGTCATCACCATATTTTTTTCTTTTTTTTTTATTTTTATTTTTGGTGATAATGACGTCATAACTTTAAATTTTATTTATTTGTTTATTTATTTTTATTTTTTTATTACCTCCTCGTTTACTATTGGTCGAAAATCAATAAATAAAATAAAATATTGAGTAGAGAAAAAAAAAAAAAAAAGAGTCACGGTCGACGAGTCCTTTTACCGAGAAAAAATCTCTCTCTCTCTCTCTCTCTTTCTGTCTCTCTTTATCTCTCTCTTTCAATATGGCCAAAAGAGACACTAAAAAAACAATCATGGCTACGAGAAACGACGGGATTTATATATATATAAATAATACCTTATTAGGAGTTAGTCGATATATTTTTTTTTTTGTTAAATATTTACGTGACATTAACGACGAAATAAAGTGTGAGAGAGAGAGTGAGAGAGTGAGAGAGAGAGAGATGATCGATACAGATCGATTTTATATTATCGAAAGTCAAAGGTTATCGATCGATTGATTCATTATCGATTTTTAAAAAATAAATAATAAAATCGATCGATTCATCGATTAACGCGTAATTTTTTGACGTTTGAGTGTTTTCTCTTCCCTTCTCCTCCTCCTCCCTCCCCTCCCCCATTCCCTCCTCCTTTCATCCTTCATTCGAATAGGATCTAAAGGAAAATGCCAATCAAAGGTTCAATGACCTTTTATTTCATTGATGATAAAATTTTTCACGCGAAACGTTTTTCTATTTCTCTCTCTCTCTCTCTGTTAACGAGAACGGTTCGATGATCCACCATTTGCGTTCGCTACGGAAATCAAATCTCCCAATTTGAAATTTATTAAACAAACAAACAAACAAACAAACTTTAAAAAAAAAAAAAAAAAAAAACAAAATGGCGGATTTATTTATAAAAAAATAAACGGCGCCAAACCAAATCAAAAAAAAAAAAATTAATTGTAATTGATTGATTCAACTCCTCCTCCTTTGATTTTTCTTTTTTTTTTTTGTTAACCGTCACAACAACAACAACAACAACAGGTTTAAGAAAAACTTGTTTTGGGTAGGTTTTGACACATAAGAAAAAACAATGAGAGAGAGAGAGAGAGAGAGAGAGACAGAGAGAGTAACTGACGAGTAAGGTAAAGTAAAAAAAATTTTTTTTTTTTTTGCTTCCGTTTTTAACCAACAAGTTTTCGTCGTGATAATACGCATAACGCACTCGGCGTACACCGGGGGCAAAACATTTTCCAAAATCGTGTTTTCATAATAAACAAACGAGTTTAACGATTACAACAACAACAACAACAACAACCACAACAGTCTTATTAATAATACTTACTGTATGCTAACGAGATTAACACTTTGACGTCCGTCTAACGATTGATAAAGTTCTTCTATGGCATCCACAATCGATCTTTGCAGGGATTGATATTCCGGACTGCTACGATCCTGATATTCTTCTCTATAGGGCTCGTTTACTTTAAGTATGACTCTATAATAATCTAAAAAATAATAATAATAATTAATTAGACATTTTAACGTTTTCGTCATTACGAAACAAACAAACAAACAAAACAAAACAAAACGAAACAAACGGAACAGAGAACAAAAGAGGAGAAAAAAAAAGTAATTAAATCATTGACTCGAATAAAAAAAAAAAACAAAAAACTGCACCTTTTATTGTTAATAATTCAATCGATTGTTGTTTGTTTATGTTTGTCGATACATAAAAAAAAAAAAAAAAATCAATGGAGTTTTGCGTGCCGTGTTGCAAATAATAATAATAATAAATAAAAACATCTGGTTTATTGCATCATTGGTTGAGATATTCGTTTAATTAAATCAAATTAACTCATTTCCCCTCCCTCTCCGCTTTCCTCCCCTCTCACTTATTTTTTTTTTTATAAAAAACAAAAAAATTCTTTGTTTAATAATAATAATAATATTGTTTAATAATGGGGGGGGGGGAAATTTAGTAAAAAATTCGTTTCCATTTTTAATTCACGATGATGATGATGATGATGATATGGAAAATAGGGAAATATTGTTCGTTACGTTCGTGTTCTTCACGGTCCAAATGAACGTGAGGACACGTGTGCACGTGTGCGTGTTTCATTCAAAAAAAAAACAAAACAAACGTTACATTATGCGGAAACATTCGTTTTTTCGGGGAGTAAATCGGGGTCAAATGAAATTTTCCGAAAAAAAAAATTTTTTTTTAAGCAATCGAAGTGAATGTTTTCATTTTTAATTAACTGAAATTAAATTAAAATTACGAGAGAAAGAGTAAAAAAAAAAAAAAAAAATTGTTTTTTTTTTTCCTAAGAAGTATTGCCAACAAAATAAATAAAAAAAAAAATTAACTAAAACGAATGTTTTTTGTTATTAATTAAAAAAAAAAAAATGGTGTTCGGAGAAAAATGTCACAAATGCTTTTTGGTTTTGATTTGTAATTGAGAAAAAATATTTGCTGTACGAACGGAAACCTTTTTATTAGATCGTCATCGTCGACGTCATCGTTGACGTCATCGTCACTGTCATCTACGTCATCGACGTTTTCAGTTTTAATTCATCGAGTAAAATTAATAAAAGTGTAGTAATAATACTCGAACGAATCTTTAATGACTAATTAATTTATTTATATAAAACTTCACGTACACGTCACTCTCCCGCTATAGGTGGGAGGTACGAGTATTACTACCCGTCTACTCATCTACTACTCATTTATCTGCCCACCCACTTACCAAACGTCAAATTAATATTCTCAAAAGATTTTTAAAAAAAAAACGGCAACGGTGAAGTCATTTTTAAACGCCATCATTTTCGATGTCGTCCCCCGTGCTCCCCCTCACTCTCCCCCATCATTTTTTTCCATTAACTTCTTTCCTTCCCTTCTTCCCGTCAATCACGTTTCCCCTTTCTTTTCTCCCCACCCCACCCCCCTCTCCAGAGAACAAAATTGCTACCGCTTTAAAATTAACTTTTCCCTCACGACAAAACACACAAACACACAAACACGTTCAAGTGTTTAACAAAAGAGTTGATGACAAACGTGACCCGAATATGATCTTTGCATTAACTCCGTTAAATTTAAAAAAAAAAAAATTTCAAATTTGTTTGTTTGTTTGTTTGTTTTAAACAACATTGGTCAAAAGTAAAAGTTTTTAATTCGTTTGTTGGTTGCATTGATAATAATCTTAAGTTTAACGGTTATTAAAGTTTAAATTTTTTTTTAAATTGCGTTTTGTTTGTCATTGCGGTAACAAACAAAAAGAGTAGAAAAAAAAGTAAACCATAGAGGTGTGATCGTCTGTGGGCGTTTTCTCCATTAAAAAAAAATTTTTTTATCTTAAATTATTACAGCAGCTGTTTCTCAATGCGATGATGATAATGATGATGATGATGATGATGATGATGATGATGATGATAATGACCTGCTTATCACGTTTTTTTTCTTTATTAAGATGTAGAAGAAATATGCAAGTAATAATGCTATTGAAATATGCGCAAAAAGAAAAAAGAAGAGGAAGATCGTGGGGGAGGGGAGGGGAGGGGAGGAGAAAGGGGAATAATTTTTAAATATATTCCGCCACCGAATAAGGATCGAAATTAATCGAAAAAAAAAAAAAAAAAACAAAACGTGGAAAAAGAATTTTTAAATCCCCCCCTTCTATATATGAAATCATTACAATTATTAAAAGTTTTTTTTTCTTTTAAAAAGGCTATTAGTCGAAAACAAACAAAACAAACAACAACAACAACAACAACATAACTAACCTACGTATTATAATATCATTTGATCTCGCAAATAAAATTTTAATTTGGTTGTCATTATTTAATAAAGTGATGATATAAAAATCAACAAACAGGGACTACAAATTACGAGACAAAGAAAACAACCGTTGATTGTTGACCCTAACGTGACCTCAAATCGTTTTGTTGTTGTTGTTTTTTATGCAAAAAAAAAAAAGTACACGCACTCGCGCGTTTGTTTGTTTGTTTTCTGTTCCTTCGCGTTTGTTTTTAAGAAATTTTTTCACCGAAAGGTTTTAGGTTTTGATTTAATGCATGTTTGTACTCACGTGGTTGTCCTGGAGTATGTCCGCTCGTCACGGGTCTCGTAGTGTAATGTTGAACATCGGAACCTCCTTCCACGTGTTTAACTTTCGAATGATGATGATGATCTCCGTGTATTTCTCCGGAGCCTTCGATTTCACCGGACGAATCTTCCGTCGCCATGTAATCCTCATCGTCGTTTGTCATCGTCGATATGGGTCTCGCGTTTCCACCACCTTTAACCGCTCTAACCTTTCTCGAGAGAGTTTCATCACCGGCATCTAACGCGTTGTCAATGTCTATGAATCCGCCGGAAGGTTTCGTCACGGTTCCGTGAGGTTTCGCATTTGAATTGTCATTTTTTTTCTCTTCCGTACGTTTTAACAGGCACATTATGTCGAAGGTTCCACATTGTTTCGTCTTCTCCTTAATGTGACTACTTAACCTTTTGTATATGTCCAGTAAACTTTCAAAATACGTATTACTTTCTACATTATTGTCAATTAATTGTACATTATTGTCGTTATCTAAGACACTTATTTGACTGAATTGTATTTTGGCACTTTCTTGATATGGATTTGTTATATTTCTTCCGTTTTCATCCGTTAGCTGTAACAAACAAACAAACAAACAAACAAATTAATTAATTAAATTCATTTTTCTTTTTTCTTCAATCTAAAAATCATAACGATCGAGATATTTTTCAAAAAAAAAAAACATCATACACAACTTTAACTTTTCGAGAGATAGAAAAAAAAAAAAAAAAAAGTGGGGGCAAAGTGATTTATTATGGGGTCAGACCCCAACAGACACTAAATATCGATAATTCAGGTTTTCAGGTCTTGACCTCATCAACGATCGTTAAATTTTTTTTTTTTTTCTTTCACCGAACGCGAGCTAAAGTCTCTTACAACGTACTCTAAACTTATTTTATTACTCTATGCCATGTTTCAAATTGAAATTGAAAAAAAAATTAAAAATCATTTTCTGAACTTTACACGAATATTAATAATAATAATAATAATAATAATAATAATAATAATAATAATAATAATAATAATAATAATAATAATAATAATAATAATAATAATAATAATAATAATAATAATAATAATAATAATAATAATAATAATAATAATTTTTGTACTTCACCACTCCTTCTTTACCTTTACAATCAACTAATTAATTAATTAATTACCTCTTGATTTTTTTAAAATTAAATTTTTTTTTATTTATTTTCGGGGGTATTCGTTAATGAAATTCTTAAAAAAAGAACAATATGGCCAACCTAACGATATTAAAATTGTCAAATAAAAAAAATTTTTAAATAATGCGAATCGAATGAATAAAAAAATAAATAAATTTTTTTTCATTATTATTACTTTTGATATTTCGATTACGTCATTAAATTGCGTCATTAATTATTATTATTTTTTTTATTATCACTTTTCGCCACGTCAAATATTAAAAAAAAAAAAAAAAAAAAAAAAAAAAAAAAAAAACAAATAAAGAAATATATGCATATATAAAAAAAAGAGTTAGTTATTCGATATGAAAGATTAATAAAATTTATAATTTACAATCAATCGACGATAGACTTTACAAACAAATAATAATAATAATAATAACAACAACAATAATAATAATAATAATAATAATAATAATAATAATAATAATAATAATAATAATAATAATAATAATAATAATAATAAACCGTTACTCAAGCCGTTAAATTCCCCGGAAACGAAAAACAAAAAAAAGAGAGAGAGAGAGAGAAAGAGAGAAAGAGAAAAAATTCCGGAAACGTGATTATCGCCAAAACATAAAAATTTGACCCAAATCATTCGTTTTTTTTTTTTTTTTGTGAAAGCTAATTAATTAACGAGAATGAAATTTTTTTTTTTTTTTTCATTCATCGACTTGTTTCCTTTTTTTCACACAGAATTTTATTATTATTATTATTATTATTATTTTAATTTGCTTCCGTAAATTTAATATTTAAAATTATCGGAAAAATCGTTTTTGATATTATAAACATTTTGCGCTTAAACAAATCGTCACTTTTGCTTTAAAAAAAACAGATTTACTAAGTTATTATTATTATTTTTATACCCCCTCAGGGCAATTTTTAATCGTGTCAGTAGCGATTCTTTTCCTGCCACGTTTAATATTTAATGGAAAATTTAAACAAATTTTTTTTTCTTAACGATTTTGCAAAGTTGAATTAAACGACTCGAAATGATGTGACGGTAGGTAATAATTACAAAAAAAAAAGAATATAAAGAAATGCCGAAGCGAGAAAAAAAAAAAAAAAGTCGTGGAATTAACAACAACAACAACAATTCCTCTTCTCATCCTAAATAAAAATAATCTCTAAATTGATTTATGCGTTAATGTTATGTCTTGGTACCACGACGACGACGACGACGACTCGAAAATTATTATTTTTTTTAAATAAAAATTTTTATTTAAAAATATTTATTAGGAGATTTTAATAATCGGACAATCCCCGACATTTAGTTTTTCTATGTCCACGACAACCGCGACCACGACGACGATAATAATAATAATAATAATAATAATAATAATAATAATAATAATAATAATAATAATAATAATAAAACATAACCTCTGTAATGTGTCACGTGAAACAATAAAAAAAAATAAAAACACGGTGGTAAATTTATCACCTTTTTTTTTTAAATTTTCCTTTTTCATTTTTCCTTTTGACTTTTCCTTTTTTCCTTTTTTTCCTTTTTTAATTTAATTTATTAAATCGATCGTAATAAAAAAAAAATATATTATCTGATAAGAATCAAATATGACGATTATCTCTTAGAGAAAATGTCACCAAAGGTAAAAAAAACTAAAACTATTGTTATAAAAATATTTTTTTTTTTTTTTACGTAACTGAAAGAACACTCACAGAGAGAGAGAGAGAGAGAGAGAGGGAGGGGAGAAAAAGAGGGGGAGAGAGAGAGAGTTTATCTATTCGAGTGTCATCTTGAGATGTTATCAGGTACAAACATCCTTCATAAAAAAAAATACTTATCAACGTTCGAAAGAAAAAAAAATCGTATCATTAACAACCACAACAACAACACTTTTCTGTACTTTTGTTTTGGAAACGAAACTTGACAATGTGTGAGATGAAAGAGAGAGAGAGAGAAAGAGAGAGATAAAGAGAGAAAGAGAGAGACAGAGAGAGAGAGAGAAAAGATAATTCCATTGAGAATATACCTTACAATAAAAAAATTAAAATGGCCATTTTCGAAAGTTGAAAAATTATTTATCCTGTCAAATTTGAGGTTTTTTTTCTATCTACCTATCTATTTAAGGTATACATACTAGTTTTTTTTTTTTTTTTTTTTTTTTTAACTAGAACCTGAAAAGTATTAAAATAAATTTTAAAATTTATATTTTTTCCCGTCTAATTTTAAACAATCTAATAATAATAATATTACAAATATTTTTTTTTTTTTTATGTTAAAAACTTTACTATGCGTTCGGCATTTTTTTCGTTACGTAATCAATCGTTATTTAAATGCTAAAAAAAAAAAAAAACGGTTTTTTCTTTTCCTGCGGGATTCTTTTTCTTCCTCATTTTTTTTTACATACGACAAGTTTATCACGTTTTATTTTTCGGTCAAATAATTTGACCGACCCAAAAAGATTTCTTTTAATTTTTTTAAAATTTAAAAAGAAATTAATAATAATAATAATAGTAATAATAATAATATTAATGAAATCCTTGAGCTATATTTTTTTTATACGCGAAACGCAAACTGCAACATAAAACCGAGAGAACCACTTTTTTTTTTTCGAAAAACATTATCATTATTATCATTATCATTATTATTATTATTTTAAAATATATTTCATTCGTTTAAACATTTACGATGAACGAAAAAAAAAAAAATAATAATAATAAAATAAAAATAAAATAAAATAAAATTTTTTTCGGTTTTTAAATTAGTAGGAAAAAAAACGCGGAAGTTGACTTTTGTGCCACTACTGACATCTTACGGTTATTTTTATAACTAATAAAATTTACTGCCTCCCTTTTATTTCCCCCCCCTTTTCCTTTCTCCTTCTTCCCCCATCACCCCCCGTTTCGATTGCGTAAACGTTCGTGACGATGACGTTCATCATCAATTATTTGTATTTTACTACATTTCTCCAGGCTGATTCTTATTATTAAAAAAGAAAAAAAAAATAAATAAATAAATAAATAAAAAAAAAATAATAATAATAATAATAATAATAATAATAAATACAACAAAATAATAATAATAATAATAATAATAATAATAATAATAATAATAATAATAATAATAATGTTTTTTTTCGGTTTCCGGTTTATTTTTTTGTTAATTTCAAAAAAAAAAGAGCGGGAAAGATGGTATTTTTTCTCATCTCTACAAATAATAATACTAATAATAATAATAATAATAATTAATAAATCGATACAATTAAAATTTAATTGGCAAACAATTTATTTATTTATTTATTTGTATCGAAGTCTTTATTAATTATTATTAATTTACAAATAATTACGTAACACTCACAACATTTCATTTAAAATTATCAACTTAATAAAGATCTCCATGATTTTTTTTTTTTTTTTTTTAATTTAAATCGCCGACGGAAAAAAAATGGCGTTTGATGATGATGATAATAATAATTATACTACGCGTCCTTACGTCAATGCATCGCGACGCGGGTTTTTTACCCAATTAATTAAAAATAATAATAATAATAATAATAATAATAATAATAATAATAATAATAATAGTAATAATAAAAATGGAAACGTTTAAATGCATGCAAAAAATTTCAAATTTAATCGTAGCAAAATAATGTCAAATAATAATAATAATAATAAAAACGTCCTTACATAAAGAACGAATGAAAACAAACAAACAAACAAAAGAAAAAATGCCGTAAACGTTTTTCCATTAACTTCGTTATGGCGACAACAACAACAACAACAGGGACACAGGAAACGATCGAATCAAAACGGAGAAAGAAAAACCATTTTTATTATTATTATTATTATTAAATCGGTTTACGTCGACAAATATTTATTAAATTTTTCGACAATAATAATAATAATAATAATAATAAATTTATCAAATTATTTTATTTACCGAAATAAAAAAAAAAATAAAAAATATTTATTTATTTACGTTAAAAGGTAAAAATTGTGTGTGTGTGTGTGTGTGTGTAAACCGCCGCCATTTTGTCTTTTTCAAAAAAAAGAAGAAGAAAAAGGAAAAAGGCGGGAAAAAATAAATTCACGTACGTTACGTCATCATAATTCGTTACGAAACTTTTTCCGTATCCTTCTCATCATCATAATTTAAATTTTTAATTATAATAATTTAATTTTCTTAATTATTGTTATTATTATTATTATTATAATTACGATGTGCAAATTTTAAACGACACGTGAATGTGTGATATTTATTATTAATAATAATAATAATGTTTAATTGCCGTTAAACAAGTGTTAACAATAAGTCTCGTCAAAACGGCGACACATTTCCCTTCGTAAATAAATTTTTTTTTTTTTTTTTATTTGGAAAAAAACAAAAATAACAACATGGCGTCGAGAAAGAAAGAAAAAAAAACGCGTTAGTATTCATTTCCGGGAGGGGGAAAAGGGGGGAACGTTTTTAGGTTTTACTTCCGGTTCGAAAGAGGTGAAGGAGAAGGAGAGGTGGGGAGAGGATAAATTTGTTTACGTTTCAGTCGTTAAAGCCGTCAATTCGAATTTTTTTTTCGTAAATAAAAATTCGTCGGAATGATAATAATAATAATAATAATTTTTTTTTGGAGAGAATAAATTT